AGTCCAAAGTCTCTGTTGGATCAAGCATGCTATACAGAGGGAATCTGCTTGAATAAAATGAGTAAATTATTTTCATTTGGCTCCCAAAGTTTTGTCAGCTTTATACGATCTAAACAAGGACTCTTAAACTTGAACATGAACCCAAAAGCTGTCAAACAGCTCATTAAAACAGATTGCTGGAAAAAATTAAAATAAAAAAAATAAAAAAAAAACAGATTGCTGGGCTCCAACCCCTTGGATTTCTGCCTCAGTAGGTCCAGCCAATTCCCAGGTGATGCCTCGGCTGCAGGTCTAGGACTACACTTAGAGAACCACTGGCCTACAAAGTGACTAGATTGACACCACCTTTCAAGTCTGCACCTGGTCCAGCAGCATGATAAGCCCATAGCATCCTAAACAGTCCTCAAAACTGATACGTGGCAGGAAGAATGGTGCTTTGATGAATTCTAAGTGCAATGATGGTTTGTAAGTGCAATACCAACCGAGCATGTCTCAAATGCTTCGGGATTGGTAAGGTAGAGGCGGAAATGGTAGGGTCTGTAGCAACAAGACTTGGGTTATGGACTTTCTCCCACCAAGCCCAGCTCCAAGGGTTCTGCTATATAGAAGCCACAGCCTCTGTGGAAGGAGATGTTTTCACTCCAGGAATGAGAGGGTGAGATCCCTAAAGGTGGGGTTGGGGATATTTCCATCCACAGTCAAGATGCCAGTATTGGGGGATCCCTGGGTGGCACAGCGGTTTGGCGCCTGCCTTTGGCCCAGGGCGCGATCCTGGAGACCCAGAATCAAGTCCCACGTCGGGCTCCCGGTGCATGGAGCCTGCTTCTCCCTCTGCCTGTGTCTCTGCCTTGCCTCTCTCTATCTCTGTGTGTGACTATCATAAATAAATAAAAAGTAAAAAAAAAAAAGATGCCAGTATTGGGCCATCCATATTATATACCTGGGGACCTTCAAGTTTTTTGTTTGATAATATATATTTTTTAAGATTTTATTCTTTTTTAAGCAACCTCTATACCCAACATGGGGCTTGAACTCACAACCTCAAGATCAAGGGTCACATGCTCCACTGAATGAGCCAGCCAGGCACCCTTGCTTGATTATATATGTTTTTAATATTTTGTTTTATTTTAATTTATTTATTTTATTTCTGAGAGAGCACACAAGTGGGGAGGGGCAGTGGAGAAGGAGAGAGAGAAACTTAAGCAGGCTCTACACCCAGCATGGAGCCCAATGCAGTGCTCATCTCACTATCCTGAGATCATGACCTGAATTGAAATCAAGAGCTAATTCTCAACTAACTGAGCCACTCAGGAGCCTTTCTGCTTGATAATATTTTTAATCATAAGTGTACATAGTTATAAAGAATGTATTGTGGGGTATCTGGGTGGCTCCATCAGTTAAGCATCTGCCTTCGCCTCAGGTCATGATCCCAGGGTCCTGGGATGGAGTCCCACATCAGGCTCTCTGCTTAGCAGGGGTCTGCTTCTCCCTCTCCCTCTGCCTGCTGCTCTGCCTGCTTGTACTGTGTCTCTCATTCTCTGTCAAATAAATAAAATCTTTTAAAAATGTATTGTAAATATTGATATCTTTTTAAAAAGTGTCCTTAAATGAGTGCAGTGAAGTCTAAATATCATAGCAATTTGATAATGTTATATATTTTATTTATTTAAGATTTTAATTAATTTTTTTGACAGAGAAAGAGAGAGAGAGAGCACGAGCAGGGGGAAGGGCAGAGGGAGAGGGAGAAGTGGACTCCCAGTGGAGCAGGATCTCTGGACCCCAGGATCATGACCTGAGCCAAAGGCAGACACTTAACTGACTGAGTCACACAGGCGCCCCGTCGTTATCTATTTTAAAAATAAATGAAAAACTCTTACTGACAATGTTGAATTTTCCCTGAACCTTGTGCTCCTGGAAAGCAGCAATGGTTAAGAAATTCTCAAATCCTTTTGTGTTCTGGAAATGACTTATTTAAAGAAACACTTTGCACATTTCACTGAGATAAGACTAATGGGTTCCCCCTTTGTTTACCTATAATGAGGCTTGGCACAGACACTCTGAATGCCCATTCTTTGACTCATGGATGGGTATCTGACCTGCGGGGCACACTGATCAATCAGAACAAAATGCTTGTTTTTTTTATTTTTTTTTAAGATTTTTATTCATTTATCCATGAAAGACACAGAGAGAGAGAGGCACAGACACAGGCAGAGGGAGAAGCAGGCTCCACACAGGGAGCCGGACGTGGGTCTCGATCCCGGGACTCCAGGATCACACCCTGGGCCAAAGGCAGATGCTAAACCGCTGAGCCACCCAGGGATCCCCAACAAAATGCTTGTTAACCAAACTTTGGTTAAGCTTCTCTTCTTCCTCTAGATCCCTCAACTATGGCCCACCCTCAGTGGGCCCTCACCCTCAGCCAGTTTACAATTCCTCCTTAATGACCCCCCAGAGAATAGACCTTAGGCTAAAACAATCTCCCAATGACTCTACGACCTACCATCTGGATATTGGATTAGATCACTCATGTTCATTCCTCCCCCCACTGGCATTCTTTCTAGCATTGTTTACTCCTCCCTATAAAAGAACACCCCCCCCTTTTTTTTGCCTAACTTAGCAGATCTTCTGGTCAGAGCACTCCCCCTATGACTATAGTTCTCCCCTCCTCCCACCCTGTTCCAAATAATCCTTTCAAGTACTGTCTTTCCTTACTAAAACCAGTTTTGTTTTTCATTTACATTATATGCAACATTCTTTTCCCTTCTTGAACTTCTATTTCCATTCAGCCACTATGGCGTCAATCCCAGCATACTATATTTTCATGCTTGGCAATATTTTCTGGAGCAGCCAATCATGCCTTTATGTCACAAAATTGTGTATATAAATTTGATCTCATTAACACTAAAAAGTGCTCTGTGACCCATAGAGTTCTAGGCATTAATTTTTCCCTTCTAAGTTGAGAGATTGTTGCAAGTATTTTCAGTACATGTGATCAAATAACAAACATATAGCACTTTGTAACAGGAGAGATCCTCTTTAAGCATAAGAAGTAAATTTTCATTAGAAGTGCCATTGAAAGGATGCCTGGGTGGCTTAGTGGTTGAGCATCTGCCTTTGGCTCAGGTTGTGATCGCATCCAGGGATCCAGTCCCTCATCAGGCTCCTGCAGGGAGCCTGCTTCTCCTTCTGCCTATGTCTCTGCCTCTCTGTCTGTGTCTCTCATGAATAAATAAATAGAATCTTAAAAAAAAAAAAGAAGTGCTATTGAAAATATGTCTTTTACAGAAGTAGATTGAGTCAGTTACTTTTCCAGTAACTTTTTAGATCCAGGGATGAATATTAATTTTTCCAACAACGAGACAGAGTTTGGGCCTTTTGTAAGCACCAACAAACATTGGTCCACATAGAAGGCAGATAGAAGGAGGTTCATTCTGTCAGTATCTCTCAGCTCTTTTAATTCCTGGTGATTACCCATGCTCAAAAAGTATATATTTTGAATGACTTCTTGGCTGACAACAGGATTAAATCCTCCTTGGATCACAGTGAAAGTAAATCAGAAACCCTTCTTTATTTCCCAGGGGGAGGCAGCAGAGCAAGATGCAGAATGAGTCTGTGCCTGAGACTTTCCTTTGTAAAGCTGGAGACAGCTCCTTATAAAACAGGACAAGGAGGCTGAACATCCAGGACTCCAGGCATGTGCTTAGGTCCAGACCCATAGGAGTAGAGGATCTGAATACGGAGTCCCTGAAAACCGTTGCCCCCAGAGTAAACTGTCACGAAGTGTCTCTGTCTGAAGACCTTCCGTCCTCTTCTTTACTACTCTCTATCCTATCGCTCTTGCCTCCTAAGAAGCTCTGGAATCTGTCCCAAGCTCTTTATCCTCTCTACCACAATGGCCCCCAGGACCTTACCTTGCCTGAATGTCCACAATCACCCCCAAAACCTCTTTCTCCAGATCTAATAATCCATTCCTCCCTGCACTGCAGCCAGAGGGAGCTTCCCCAAATACAAATGAACCAGCTCTGGATTAAACTCCTCCTAGCTCCCCAAGGCCATCAGAAGTCTGAGTAGAAGGACTTAATCTCTCTAAGGGCCTCGTCTTTTGTCCTGCTTCCCTCAAATCTATATTCCAGTCAGAGGTGGCAGATTCCTGGACACGGGTACCACTGGCCTTCTGGGAACCTTTGCAATGCCCTCTTTTTGCAAGACTGCGAGACAGAGCTAGGAGGAATCAGACTGCTTTGGTAAGGGACTTTTGTTTGGATCTTAGCTGTTTCCTCTTAATTTCTTTTAATGTCAATTTCCTTAACTGTCAAATAGAAATAATGGTACATATTTCATGGGGTTCTTGTACAGATTATATATGCATATTGCCTGGCACACAGCAGTGCTCACATAATAAATGTGAACTGTTTACTATTATTTTTAAAGGTTTTATTTATTTATTTATTTATTCACGAGAGACACAGAGGGAGGCAGAGACACAGGCAGAGGGAGAAGCAGGCTCTGTGCAGGGATCCCGACAGGGGGATGGATCCCAGGACTCTGGGCAGATGCTCAAACACTGAGCCACCCAGGTGCCCCCAAAATTTCTTTAGTGTATTATGTGCCCTTCATGTGTATTATTTCACGGAATCCCCACGACACAGAGGAGGGAAGGGCTCTCCATTCCCGTTCCGCAAATGTGGGTGTGTCTCCTGCAAGTCATTCTGCCTTTGGTGGCACGCAGCTCGTAGGAGGCCGCATCCTGGCCCAGGGAGCGCCGTGCAAAAGGCAATGGGACCCGGGAAACAGGAGGCCACGCTCCGCTCCGGTTGCTTTAAAATTTTCCGCGGGTCCCGCCAGCAGCCCGCACAAGCCACACCCCTTTAGGAGTCCCCGCCCCCCTGCGGGCCTGCGCCTATCCGCCGCGAGCCAGGCCCCCGGCCAATCAGCAGCGGCGCTGGGCGGGCGCTGCCGCGCGGCGGGCCAATGAGCGGGCAGCCGGAGCGGGGCTTGCCCGGGCATGTGGGAGCTGCGGGCTGCAGGACACCACGTGCGGCCCGGAGGACGCGCGCGGCGCTTCAGGTGCTCCGGGGCGCGGCTGGGGACGGCGGGCCCGGGCTCGGCCTACGGCTCGGGCTCCGGCTCGGGCTCCGGCTCGGGCTCGGGCTCGGGCTCGGCCGGGGCGGGGCGGGGCGGGTGGGGTCTGCTGGCGCGGCGCGCCCCCGGCCCTAGGGTCCCGCGCGCGGTGCCCGCTCCCGGCCTGCGCTCGGGGACGCCGGGGCCCGGCCGAGCGGCTCTCGGGGCCCCGCGGCGTGCAGGCCCTGCCCCGGGCGCCTCCCGTGCTCGGGGGCCTGGGGCCTGCGGGGCGGCGCTGGGCGCAGGGGCGCCGGGCACGGGGCTCGGCCTGGCGGGCTCGGCCCTGCGGCCGGCGAGGGACCACCCGAGCCCTCCGTGGCCGAGGCCGGGCCTCCCCGGGGCGCCCTTCGGGGGCCGGGGGGGGGGGTCGGCGGGGCTCCCGGGCTCTCCTTGCCCTTGCCCTTGCCCTGCCGAGAACTTTGAGCAGCACGGGGCGTGTGTGTGGCGGGGGCGTGGGGTGACCTCAGCGAGCCCGGGTTTTCCAAGTCCGGGCAATTATTCTGGGCCAGGGCTCGGGGGTGGGGTCGCGCGCTCCTCAAAATACAAAGTGCGGCTTCTCAGGCTTCTCAGGCCCCGTGGCCCTAAATGGCAGTTGGGATGGCCGGGTGTGGGGGGCAGGCCTGGGACTCGACGTTTGACACGGACGTTCTAACTGCTTTGGGGGAAGCCCCAAACCTAGATCCACGCTCGGTTTTCATCCACCTCCATTTTGTGGTCATGGGGGCGGTGACCTGGTCCCAGGACATCTAGGTTTTAGGGCCAGGGCACCCGGAAGGCAGCCTACAGCCGCCTACTGCCTTCCCCATCTGCCTGCAGGTTGGTAGCTTTTGGGGCCTTGGCTCTGGGGCTCTCCTGCTGGAGTCCTTGCCTTGGGCCACAAACCCCATCACCTGTCACCGCAAGACCTGCTGGCTGCTGATCCCCAAAGAGGTGGTTCTGGGCTGGGAGGAGATTTGAGTGTGTCCTTACTGAAACAGCTGTGTTATTTGAGCCAAACTTCTCTCCAGTGAAGAGAAGGTGTCCCTCTCACCCCCCCACCCCCACCCCCCGTCTGGTGGCCCAGGATGGGCCAGGCATGTCCTAGATAATTAATTGTTGGTTCTGACGTGTCAGCAAGTTCAGGGCATGTAGAAGAGGACTTGCTTTCATCTCGAAACACAAGGCCGCTTTTTCTCAGGGAACTTGATTTCTGGATTCCTGGGAATCTTGCAGGGAGGGTCAGGGAGGCCACCCACCCTGCGCTCCCAGGCTCAGCTCCTGACCTGGGAGAAGGGAAGGGAAGGGAAAGGGCCCAGTTCTCCCCATTGCCGAGCTGAGGCAAAATGAGCTTCTATGCTTGTCGGCTCTAATCTGTGACTCGTCAAGGTGAGGACGTTGATTATAGTTAGGTGCCCTTTTAAAAGGGAGAAGGCTTCTTGGGGAGTGGATGAGCAAGCCTGAGGGAGGATGAGTCAGGATGGGTCACGGAGCCTCGCCCTGGCCCAGGCATCACCAAGTGGCTCTCCTCCCACGATTCTTAATCTCTGTCCCTGTTCGGATTCTCCTCCAGAGCTCTGCCTATAAGGCAGTAGGGATTTCTTTCTCCATCAATCCCTGGATTCCGCCCAAACTTTCACCACCGTCCAGAAACAGTGGTCTCTCACTGTTCCCTCCATCGGGCTCCTCTCCCCCTACCTCCTGGTCAGTTGGTCCACCAGCCCTCTGCCCTCTCACAGTGGAGGACCTTTGCCTTCTGGAGTTTAAGTTTGTATTTCCTCTGAATGCCTTTCCCGTTCTGTGCTCCTAGCAGACCTTCCTGAAACCTTTCAGCATGTCCCTCCACTGGCCAGGCGTCACTAACCTGGCAATTGTCTGTCCAGTACTCGGACAGATGAGTCCTTAGTTCATTCACTACCCCCCATCCTGAGCACACCCTGGGAAGAGGCTGGCTGCCTCCTCGCCAGATGAGGAGTTCCCTGAATTCTGGTTCACCTCCAGCCCTGCTGCTCCCACAGTCTGGCAGGCCCGGCCTCAGCTCCCTTCACACACTTCTGAAGAGGACTTGCTGTGTGCCGGGTCCTGGGCTGGCTGTTGGGGAAGAGGCAAAGACACACAGGGCTCTGACCTGGCTTTTGGAGCACTTTGGGGTAGACGCTCTGTAACTGTTGTCTTAAAGTGTAGTAAATGCTTCTCTGGTTGTGCTGTCAGGTGCGGAGGGGTGAATTTCTCTGTTCCCCAGCTAGATTGTAAATGCCTGGGCTCAGGAAGTCAGTGACTTCCCTTGGGACTTGGGATTCCCTCAGCTGATCAGCAGAGGCCATTCTGGGGGTAGCAGCTTAGGGGGCTGAGGGTAGGGCCACCAAGGTGTGTGGTAGCCTTTCCAGGGTGGGGACAGAAGGTTAAGTGGTGAAAAGGTGAGAGGGACAGTTCCTCCAGCTGGGACCTGACGTACCTTGTGTTTTATGCCCTAGTGGCATCAGGCTGCTTGGGGAGGGGGGCTCCCCTTCCAACCCTGGCTTCCTTCCTCTTTCAGGCCTTTGCCCCTAACATGGCCACCAGTTCATCTCCTTGTCACCTGGAAGGTTACTGTTTCTTCACAGAGATTTAATTTCTTCCAGCCAGCCTTCCAGAATCATCGTCGGGCCAGCTCTGCTTCCCTAGCAATTCTAACCCAGCCCTGCGCACGCCTTGTGCTCTGTTTCTGTCTCTGCAGTGAGACTAATTATTTTCGAGGCCAGGATCTGCCTATGTTACTCTCTGCTCAGCAACTGGCACAGCTGGGACCCAAGGGAGCCTTAGGGTGGAACAACCCTTAGGGATAGAGGGTTGTTCCAGCAGGGCTCCCTGGAGGATGTAGAAAGGTTAGGAGGTATGTAAGTGGGAAGACAGGTAAGGGGAAAGCCTGTGGGTTGGGAGGGCAGTGAGTCCTGGCCAAGGCAGCTTTGGCCTGGGAAGAGCTGGTGACCAATCAGGAGGAGAGCTTTAACTGCTCTGGGGAGAAGGGAGCAGGTAGTTACTGAGCCCCTACTGTATACAGTGGATGCAGAGCGAGCGCACGTGTATTGTGTCCTCTCATCTTCATTAGGACAGGTTGTAGTAGGGCCATTTCGCAAGCAAGGAACCTGAAGCTCAGCTCAGGTAACTTCTGAACAGCTGAGTTAAACCCTGCTCTGCCTACTTGAAAGTCCTGGTTTTCTGGCCTGTTAAAAATGTACCAGGTGACTTAGCAAGTGAGTGAAGCTGTCCAAGCATGGTCCCTCGCTCTTGGGCACCTGCTGGCCTTGTTGCATGGGATTTGCAAACCCACATGAACTTCAGAAATCCCCAGTGTCCAGTAATGGAGGGACCTGCGGACACTGCCTTTTCCGTTTCCCTTTTTGTGTGTTGAGCCAGCTTACAAGCATACCCCTGCCTTTAGTCTCTGGTGACTTAGAAATGCCTAGCTATCAAAAACTGTTTTAGATGCTGTTGTGATTAGTAAGGTAGAAAGTCATTTAATGAATTACCTTATTTTGGTTGACAGATATCGAAAATACAACTATGGTGAGCCTCTTGTGAATTTTTTTTCTCCAGTTTCTGCTGAGAATGAGGGCCTGTGCTTTCACAAAGGATTCTTTTGTTTTTTGTTTTTCTTTAAACTGGGATTAGATTGTGTGGCCAGCTCAGTTGGAAGAGTATGCGACTCTTGGTCTTGGGGTCATGAGTTTGAGCCCCACATTGGGTGTAGAGATAACTTAAATTTAAAAAATTTAAAAATGAGATTTGCGTGTGTGTATGTATGTATGCATACACACAGTGTTTCTGTAACTTCTTTTCCCATATCTATACCTCTCTAAAGCTTGTTGTCACCTGAAGGTGAGCTCTGGCTTGAAGGTTGAGACCCTGGATGCTGGGTTCGTATCAACTCTTGTCTTTCTCACCTGTGAGATGAGAACGATCATACTTGTTCAGGTTGTTGGGAGTATTTAGTGATTCTATGTAAAGTACTTGGGATAGTGATTCACAAGGGAGCTTGACTCAGTGCAGTGATTATTTGAAAGGTCCTGGGCTCAGTCTGGGAGCCTGAGACAAAGTACAGGGCTCTAGGGCAGTGGGCAGTGGAGCCCTGCAGGTGGGGGCGGGGCCAGCCCTGCACACTTCTCACCCAGCCTCTCTGCCCTGTGTTGTCTCTGCAGAGCGCCGCCCTGCTGGCAGATCACCCCACCAGGCCTCGCCTGCCCCGAGGTGTGAGCTGATTGGGATGGTACCCCGGGAAGGTCCAGAGTCTGCCCAGTGCCCGTGCCCTTCCCTGGCTAGCCTGAATGCCAAGGATGTGCTTCGGAGAAAACACAAGCGGAAGAGTCGACAGCACCAGCGATTCATGGCCCGGAAAGCCCTTCTGCAGGAGCAGGGGCTGCTGAGCATGCCCCCCAAGCTGGGACCCTCCCTGCTGCCCATGCCATCAGAGGCACTGCCGGGCACTGAAGCCACCAGCAGTGGGATGCAGCGTCTGAGGAATGAACCTGGAGGTGCCTCGTGGAGCAGAAAGCTTACCCCCCGGGAATCCACAGGGCCCCGGCCCAGCAAATGTGTGGCCATCGACTGTGAGATGGTGGGCACGGGACCCCGAGGGCGGGTGAGTGAGCTGGCCCGCTGCTCTGTAGTGAGTTACCATGGCGATGTCCTCTATGACAAGTACATTCGGCCTGAGATGCCCATCGTGGACTACCGCACTCGCTGGAGTGGTGTCACTCGGCAGCACATGCGCAAGGCCATCCCCTTCCAGGTGGCCCAGAAAGAGGTGAGGACATAGGTGGGGACGTGTGTGGATGGGCGATGGCCAGGGAAAGGCAGCCCTGGGTTTGAGTCACCACTCAGCTGCTGGAAACGAGTTTGGGAAAGTTACTTAACCTCTGTGTAACCTGTGGCTTTCTTCTCCATAAACAAGGGTGCATAAAATCTGGACCCACCTCCATGGGAGGGTTGCTGGGTAGTCTTTGGGATAATGTTTGTGGAAAGACTGCCACTTGGAAGATGTGAAAGGCTCACAAGTTACATTTTCTTTTCGGTTGTAAAAGTATGATGTATCTATTTAGAATTTGCAAGGCCCACAGTCCTGTCATCTTCAGGCATCAGTGTTTCCTTATTTTTTTAGTTATCCAGAGCTTTGAAAAAGATCAATTAGTGTTTGGGATTGCACTAATGTGCTAGGAGTTCCCAAACGTATTTGACCATAGGAAGCACCTAAAGCGCTTTTAAATCTTGAATCTTTGTCCCCAGATCCTTCCATGGAGGTTCTCATGGGCTTGGGGATGGCTTTGAAAAATCATCATGCTGTGCAGATGTGCACATGACCTCCCTGGGGCCTGAGGAGGATGGAAGGCAGGGAAGAGAGGCATGCACTATGCACGTGGTGAGCGCTGAGCCAGAGACCAAAGGTTTCAGAGGTGGGAAGCAGAGTCCTGTATGGCCCCTTGTCCAGGGGCAGGATCCTGAGGAGACAGGCCATGTTGGCTAATGCTAACAAAAGCTGCTGTTAATGGGCTTATCTCTAGTGCCAGGCACAGTTCTGTGGACGTCATCCAGTGGGTCTTTATCCGTCGACTCCTGTGTACTGAGCTTTCATCTAGCATCACTAGTCAAGTCAAACATTGTCCCTGCTGTTTACACTGAGCTAACATGGGGGGCAGGTGGATAGACTGTGCCAGACCTAGAGGTGTCCTTAGAAAACGTGATGAATCCACTCCACTACCATGGGAGAGAACAGCCCGGGTACCGATGTGGCTGGGCCAGTCATGTGGGAGGCCTCCTGGCATGGAAGCCGAGGCGCCCCGAGAGGACTTGGCATAACGTTGAGTGGGGTGGGGGAGTGCAGGGAAGTCTTCCAGGCTGAGCAGAGAGCCTGTGCCAGTAGAACAGAGTTGCTTATATTGATCAACTAGAAGACTTCTTCCAGGAGCTACTTCTTAAAATGCTCAGACCCACCCCAGGGAGACAGCACTCTTACTTGTTCGAGAGCCTAAGTGTGCCCCGGGTCATAGTGAGTCGAAGGCCCAGGACTCAGACATGAGGCTGCGTGGATGGAGCTCATGGGTGCCCTCTCCACACTCCCCCACTCCCCCTTTGGAGGGATCTGTGTGCCAGTGGCCAGGGTGGCAGCACATGTCTCGTGCCAGCTTCACAGCAGGATCTTCCTGCCTCCTTCACTCATAGATCCTCAAGCTCCTGAAGGGCAAGGTGGTGGTGGGGCATGCGCTCCACAATGACTTCCAGGCCCTCAAGTACGTGCACCCTCGGAGCCAGACCCGGGATACCACTTACGTGCCCAACCTCCTCCACCAGCCTGGCCTCCACACCCGCACCCGGGTGTCTCTTAAGGACCTGGCCCTGCAGTTGCTCCACAAGAAGATCCAGGTGCGTGGGACGGGAGAAGGGGCCATGGGCTGTGCCTTCGGGCTTCCAGTCATTCCACCTTCCCCAGTCCCGGGGACCAGGGCTAAGTATGATGTCCCACACGTAGAGGCAGCCCTGGGTGTTTTCTCCACCATCCCTATTGTGACAGCCAACCACATTCTTGCAGGCTGGGCTCTTACAGACCTGTCCTCCACCCAGTCCCTGGCTCTGTCCCTGCCCTTCATGGAGAATCCACACGGCGGAGCCTTTCCCAGGGGCAGCCAGTAACTCTCGCTCCCACTGTCCTCATTATTCCGTCCGCTCTTCAAGTCTCTGAAGTCAGTTATACCACGGGTTATGTTTGAGTTGGGGACGCAGGGTCAGAGAGGATAGGTGGGGTATGGGATGTTTGAGATTGCTGTGCTCTCCTGAGCATCACCCATACCCTGCCCCCGTCCCGAGCCATACACAGCTGTTCCGAGAGTTCTGGGCCTGCACCAGATCCAGAATGACGGGCAGTGATGAGGGCTCTTGTCCACAGGCTGGCCAGCACGGGCACTCATCAGTGGAAGATGCCACGACAGCCATGGAACTCTATCGGCTGGTGGAGGTGCAGTGGGAGCAGCAGCAGGCCAGCAGCCTGCCGCCCTGCCCGGAGGACCGAGAGCCTGACAGCAGCACGGACATGGAGCAGTACATGGAGGACCAGTACTGGCTGGAGGACCTGGCCCAGGGCACCCGCGGAGAAACGGAGGCACAGGACAGAAGGGAGTGAGGCAGGAGAGCCCTGGGCAATTCATCCTGGGCAGGGCAGGGTGCAGCTAGCCTGTTGCCAGGGTCCGGGGAGTTGGGACCATCTATCCTTTTGGCTCCCTTGCCCAGGGGCTCTTGTGGGCACTCCCCCCCCCCCATGGTTTGCTAATGGCACTTTATAGGCACTGTGAAAATGTCAGGTGGGTGAGCTATGGGGACCCAGCCAGAGGAGGGGGTGTGCCAGCAGACCATCCTAGCCGTCACTGGCCTCCCCACCCCCTATGCTGTGCTGTCTCAGAGGGTGAGGTCTCCTCGTGGGGTGTTAGCTCAGTGACCTGGGGTAAGGCCCTTTTCTCTTACTGCTCTCTGCATCTTCCTCCGCGGGCATTGTTAGGTTCACAGTGAACATGTCCTGAATCTATAGAGTGAAAGCCCCTCTAAGGGACGTTCCTACCTTTCTCAGATTTGCAGCTTTGGCCATAGCCGTAGTAGGAACTCAGTGCTAGGCTGTGATGGGATAGCAGAGCCCGCAGGCCCAAGGGGAGCTGGCACTAGGCATCACCAGGCACTATTCTGAGAGTGGGGAAAGCAGCTCTGTGTTGATGTTGGGTGGAGACTGTGGCATATTAATTTTGACCTAACTCGGGCATTCTTCATGCCCACAATGCTGGGCTCTCTTAAGTACAAGCCTGAGAAACAAGACAGCAGTTTGAATTCTGGGACCTCTGTGCAGAGCTACACCCAAGGGACCTTTATTTATTAAGAGTAAAGCCCGGGCAGCCCGGGTGGCTCAGCGATTTAGTGCCGCCTTCAGCCCGGGGTGTGATCCTGGAGACCTGGGGTCAAGTCCTGCGTTGGGCTCCCGGCATGGAGCCTGCTTCTCCCTCTGCCTTTGTCTCTGCCTCTCTCTCTCTCTCTGTGCCTGTCATGAATAATTTAATTTTAAAAATCTTAAAAAAAAAAAAAAAAGTAAGGCTGCCAGTGTGCAGGGGGCAGAGGGCATGTCCATGGGGCTAGGGCCAGGGAGTGTGTGCACTCCCGGGCTGGTGTCCCCTCAGGCTCTTTGATCCATAGTCATCACGGTTATCGGGATCTGTCGGGATCTCATATGCCACCCCTCTTTCATTGATTCACAAGGGCCCATTTGGGGTATTTAGGTTAGCCAAGACCTCAGGTCCACATGGACTTGTGAGCCCCATCCTTGCTTGCCACTTAATAGCTTTGCGACCTTGAGCAACTATGTGACCTCACTCTTGAGCCTGTTTCCTCCTCTGTAAAATGAGGATGATGCTACAGCCCACCTCCCCGGGTTGTCATGGGGATCAGGTACTGGGGCCTGGCATGCAGCAAGCTGAGGTCAGTGTGACCTGCTCTGTTTTCTTTAAGGCTGGTCGCAGCCTCTTCTGAATAACACCTGAGCCAGCCTCCTGGGATGGAGTGGCTCTGTCTGCAACAGGGCTGTCCTTGCTCGGCTGTTCCAACAGGGGCAGGCTAAGGACCCAGCATGGAGGTGTGACCTGTGTCTGCTCAGCGTCCCTCTGCATGCGGGAAATAACAATGGTCTTTATGTCAGCCTGACCCAAGCAACAGGGCCAGGAACTCAGACACTACTGAAACCACACTACTTCCAACTTGTCTGTCAGCTCCCTCCCAGGCTGCAGAGCAGGGAGCTGGCTGAGGCATTGACCTCTGCTGGCCTGGTTCCAGGGCTTTGTTCTGGAGTCCTTAAACATCTATCTGTAGCTGGCGGCAAACTGCCAGCCGGGCTGTAGTAGTTTCGATTCTTTGGGCTGTGGGTTGAAAAAGATGGAGATATTACCAGTAGGGGAAATCTACTGGGTTTAAAATCAGCTTTATTGTAAAAACATTTGTTCTGGAATAAAACTCAGATGGGATGCTTAGATGGCTCAGTGGTTGAGTGCCTGCCTTCCCCCCACCTAGGGTGAGATCCTGGAGTTCCAGGATTGAGTCCCACATCAGGCTCCCGGCATGGAGCCTGCTTCTCCCTCTGTCTCTGCCTCTCTATCTCTCTGTCTCTCATGAATAAATAAATAAGTAATTTTTAAAAATAAAAAAAAATAAGACTCAATTAGAAAAGTGAGTGAAGTGGTCTTTTCTGAATTCTCAGGTTGGAGTGGGAGGGTGGCTTGATGGAGGGATTGAGGGATGCTGGGGCACTGAGTCTTGCTGGGTGCTTTGGCCTTTGAGGTGGGGGCTTTCAAGATAATGCTTTGGGATGTGACAACATTCTAGAGCTGCAGAATTTATGTAGTTTATTTTTAAAAATTTTATAACTGCCCTATTGCAGAGCACAAAGTTTGTTTCTCCTGAAGCTGTTACTTTTCAAGAAAATGTTTAGTTCTAATTGTGATAAAACACACATAACATACAGGTTTCCATCTTAACCCTTTCTAAGGGTACAGCTCAGTGATGGTAAGTATATTTCCATTGTACAGCCAATCTGTATGACAGAGCTTTTTCATCTTGCAAAACTAAAACTGCTCATTAAACACACTCCCCACACCCTCCTCCCTCCAGCCCCTGGCCACCACCATTCTACTTTCTGTTTCTATGAATTTGACTATCCCATGTAAGTAGAATCAAATAGTATTTGTCTTTGTGATGAGCTTATTTCGCTTAGCGTATGGTCCTCAAAGTTCATTCATGTTTAATATGTGTTAGAATTTCCTTCCCTTTTAAGACTGAATAATCATTTGGATGTATAGACCATATTTTGTTGGTCTGGTCAGTTCTCAACACTTGGGTTACTTCCCCCGCTTGTTTGAGAATAACACTGAAGGTAGGTGGGCGGTACCTTTGGAACTCCGCTTTTGGTTACTTTGGGTGTATACCCAGAAGTAAGATTGTTGGATCATACGGTGGTTCTGTTTGAAGTTTTTGAGGAACTGCCATACTGTGTTCCACAGTGGCTGCACCAATTTGCAGTCCCACCAACAGTCCATGAGCTTACCCATTTCTCCACATCCTCACCCACACTTGTTATTTTGGGGTTTTTTTTGTGTGCTTTTTTATTTTATTTTTTCAGGGGAGGGTCGGTATCCTAGTGGGTGTAGATACCTACATCATTTTGGTTTTAATTTGCATTTCTCTAATGATTAGAGATTTTGAACATCTTTTTGCACGTTTATTGATATATAGTTCATTTTTCACTTTTTTTCTTTTTAAAAAGCAATTCCATTGTGATTTTACATGAACCACATGAAATTGCTGACATTTGACTGAAACACTTCTACCTGTCACAGAATTGAGAAATTCACGCCTGTGCATTTTCGAGCGCATGCACAGCTGAGACATGGTTGAATAGGAATTCAAAGGTCAGGGTGCTAGTAGGGATCGGTGCCTGACTCAGTTATGAATCACCCACTTGGCCTGTGCCCTGTGCTTGGTGCCACAAGGTGGCAGCCTCTGTACCTTGTATAGTCACAGGTGGGCCAACTGAAGGAGGATGTGTGTCTTGTAAGGGCTGAGAGGTTTGCCCTGAGTGACTAACTTTCCTGCTGTCACTTGACATGAGATTTGCAGGCTTGGTCTGGCCAATGGGTGACATCAGGTAAACTGGAGAAGCATCTCCTCTGGGACCTCCTCCCCCTGGCTGGGGTCAGGGATTCCTCTCCTAGGCTTTCACAAGTGTCTGTATCTAACCTCAGAGCTCACAGTACCTGGGAAAAAAAATTCAACATGACCCAGGCAGGGTTCCAGGTTCTTGGAAACTGCATGGGCGTTGAAGTTTGCTTTTTTTGGACAACTGGAAATCACAGTGCAAGAGATTAGATTTGGAGAAGATAAACCTGTTGGGATTTGAAGGACAGCATGGAGGCAGGAAGACCCGGGAGCTGATGGGCAGGTGGGGACTGAGCAAAGGGGAAATGCAGGGTCAGTGACCACGGAGTGGGCTCTGGACGCTGGGACAAAGAGGAGGAGACCTGAGGAAACCAGCAGGGTGAAGGGGTGAGGTGCACCGTGTCCTATGGGGTTGTAGAAACAGAAACCGCACCACTGGATCTTTAGGGGGTTACTTTTTCAATGCACATTTATGTAAAATGACACATTTTGCTTCATTCTCTCCCTAAATCAGGGTGACGATCCTTTATGCATTTGAGAAACAAAAAAGTCCCCAGTCTGAATTCAAGCAAAAGTTGCTCAATCAGGATGGGAACCAAAAATAATTTCATACTTCAAATTCGAGCCAATTCAATGACGAACTTGAGCAATACCTTATTATTCAGACATATTTCAGTACATCGTTTTATTTTTGAGGTCTGTTACAGTCAGACATCACTCCGTGAAAATACCAGGGACCTGGGGAAATTCCTTTCTAAGCCACAAATCTTGATGACATCTGGGAGCAATCAGATCCCACTGCTCAAAGCTTACTCCTTAGGAATCTGGAGTAGGAGGCAAGAGTCTTGCAGCATATGATGATGACTTCCTCTCAACCCAGTGGGCCACAGAGAGCCATAGAGGATTCTTGAGTAAGAGCATGGCAGGATCAAACCCAGATTTGAGGAGACTAGAATAGGGAAGGGATGCTGTGGAGGATAGCTGATAGTGAGGAAAGATTTCAATTTCTGCCTTTTCCTCACTGAAAGCTGGTTCTAGTTTTGTCCCAGCCATAACTCATTCATCTAGTCAATAAGTATTGAATGCTATGTGTCAGGCACTGCTGTAAGAGGTCAGAGTTCGAGCCTGGGAGCTGGGTGTAGTCCCCAGGAAGTATGGCCAGGCTGGTGGGGCTACTTCCAGGCTTTCTTTCCTTGTCCTCAGAGTGTTAGCCCAGCTGGAAGCAGAGCCCGTTGAGGGCAGGCAGACGGTTGTTTCTGAAGCACCCCCAAAGCTCTGGAGACTCTAGGGGCTCCCTCTCAGCCTTCCTGGGTGGGGGTTGGGGCTAGCCCCAGGCTCAATGTCCCAAGAGCCAGCTCCCCCTTACCCCCATAAGAGACCTCACTGAGTGTCAGGTTGGAAGCTGTGGGACATTCTGCAGCCTCCGGTGCCGGGGATGTTTATTCTCCCAGCAGATGGAGGGTGAGAAAGGGAAGGAAAGAAGGTGTGGCAACCCACCGCATTCTCATCAGCCCCCTCATCTGAGATGGGGAGGGCTCCAAGCACCCAGGTAGGGGCAGGGGCAACGGTCAGATGGGTGGACTCGGAGCCTGCCTCCCGGGTTGGTTGTGACTCGGGTCACCGGGCTCCCCACCTGCCGGCAGCGCAAGGAGCTGGAGCAGCGCAGCCCACGTGCCCAGCCTCCCGCCTCTGACTTCGCCTGATAACAAACCAGAAACTGAACCGGGCTTGGGATTCCCAAGTCAGAGATGAAGTCAGAGATGAAGTCAGAGATGAGTCACCGCCCGGGGCCACTGCAGTAGCTAAGAGGCGTCGCCAGAGGGGCAGACGCGAGCAGAGGGCGCGGGTGGCCAGCAGTCAGGTGAGTGGGAGCTGCGGTGGTGGCCAGGGGAGGATGTGAGAGGGGCCCGCGGGGCTCAGGAAGCCGGCGGGGTGGCAGGAAGCCAGCTTTGCCTGCCTCCAGGCAGTGCTCCTGACCGGCAGGGCAGAGGGTAGAGGCTGCGGGGTGGTGGCCCGAGTCGGCCCTGAGTGATGCTCCCGCCCCCGCCTGCCCTCTCCAGTGTGTCTCAGGGTCCTGATGAGACATGGCAAGTGGCACTGACGTGGTGGCCATTGACTGTGAGATGGTGGGCGTGGGGCCCGGTCGGGAGAGCGGCTTGGCCCGCTGCAGCCTCGTGGACCTCCACGGCACCGTGCTCTACGACCAGTTCATCCGGCCCGAGGGGGAGATCACTGACTACAGGACCCAGGTCAGCGGGATCACGCCTCGGCACATGGAGCAGGCCACGCCGTTCGACGTGGCCAGGCTGGAGGTGAGTGGAGGGCTGTCTGCCAGCCAGGCTGGGGCGGCGGGGAGGCTGCGGACCCCTGCATGTCTGCACACACATGCACGCACATGCACGCACATGCACACTTCCCTGGCACCTTCCCTAGGCGCCATATCTGTGACCCAAGACCCCAGCCACGACAGATCCCCTCCACCTCTGCGTGAAAGAGCACTTGGGCTCCGAGAACCCTATCAGGGTCTCCTTCAGATCCCTGAGAAGGCCTCCTGCCCTCAAACAGCCTTAGACTCACATCTGGGAGCAACGTTCAGGGCATCCCGTCCACCTTCCTGGGCTGTTCATGGGGAAACTGGGTTCTGCTTGATGTTCCCATGGAGGGATGCTTTCTCTACCCTGGCTGCCCTGGGTTGGCCCCCGCAAGGAAATGAGGAAATGTGGTCTCACTGGCTGGGCCCTTGGCGGGGGCTCGGGGTCTTGAAAAACAGGTTGGAGTCCCTGGGCTGAGGGGAAGAGCTTGCACTCACACCCACCATAGACCTTCCGTCAGTTTGAGGTCGGCATGCAGCCCCAAGATTTCCCACCACCTTGCCTCACCTTGTGGTAACTTTTTCAGGTCCCAGTTTCTGTTTCTATTTCTCTGAGTCACTAGATGGAAAGCAAACTCAACCCATCTCGCACTAGCTTGAGTCACTTCTGGGAAGGTTTAGAAGGGCGAGTCAGCGCATTGGTTTCTAGGCTTGGGGGAAGTCCTAGAGGAACGCCGACTGGGGCTGGTCCCGACTGCACGCCCCACACATGTGCCAGGCTCCACGCTCGGGATAAACATAAAACATAACAATAGCTCCCGTTTCCTGAGCAATGGCCGGACCTCCTTCACGCCTCATGGGACAGCCCTCCAGGATGGTTTTCAGGAGCTGTAAACGCAGAGTTAGAGGGCCAGTCTTGAACCCTGGCTGCTGACATAGCAGCTCAGTTACCCTGGGCGAGTTCCTTGGCAGCCTCTCCGTGTACCCAGCTTCCTGCACCTGTAAAAGATTACTGGGTATAATAATAGTAGCGACATCATAGGATTGTTGTGAGGACTGAGAACGTGCCTAGAGAGAGTGCCTGTGTGAGGACTCCAGAAACGTCAGCTGATACGATCGTCTGTTATCCCCATATTACAGATGTGGAAACTGAGACCCCCTTGAACCAAGTGTATTGGTTTGCTAGGGCCACCGCAGCAAAGTACCATGACCTGGGGCCTCAAACAACAGAAATGTATTGTCCCATCATCCTGGAGGGTGGAAGTCAGAGCTCAAGGTGTAAGCAGGTTGCTTCCTTCTGAGGCCCTGCAGGAGAATCCATGCTGCGTCTCTCTCCCAGCTTCTGGGGGCTGGCTGGCAGTCCTCTGTTTCTTGGCTTGTAGAAGCATCACCCCAATCTCTGCCTTCAGTCCGTGTGGTGTTCTCCTGGTGTGCACATTCTGTGGCCCCTCTTGCCCATTTATAAGGACACCGATCATATTGTATCAGGGTCCACCCTGATGGCCTCTGCTGATTACATCTGCAATGACCCTATTTCCAAATAAGTCACATTTTCAGGGACTGGGAGTGAGGATTTCAACATATGAATGGAGGTGGCAGAAGGCAGGGAGGGCAGGAGGACACAATTCAACCCATTAACACTAAGTGACTCCCAAAGGTCCAGATAACTGAGGGGGTCAGGACTCAGAAGTCAGGCTCATGCCTCAAGGGCTGTGTGTCCAGTAGGGGGCCGCCTAGCTGCATGTGGTTATGAGCCCCCAAAAGTGGCTGTTCTGAACCGTGATGTGCTGTAAGTATAAAATGTGCATGGGATTTCAGAGATTTGTTTTGCTTTGCTTGTTTGTTTTATTTATTCATGAGAGACAGAGAGAGGCAGAGAGATAGGCAGAGGGAGAAGCAGGCTCCCTGCAGGGAGCACGATATGGGACTCGATCCCAGGACCTGAGCTGAAGGCAGACGCTCAACCACTGAGCCACCCAGACGTCCCAATTTCAGAGATTTGTATCAAAAAATTCATAAGAGGTCTCAATAATCTTTTATATCAATTACATGTTAAAATTATAGTATTTGACAATATTAGGTTAAATAAAACATTAAAGCTAGTTTCACCTATTTTTACCTTTTTCAATATGGTGATTAGATGATTTAAAATTACATATGTGGCTCACAATATATGTCTACTGGACAGTGCTGTTTTATAGGGACTATGAGGAGGCCAGGAGCCCAGAGCCGGGGGTACAGTAATCAGTTAGGGTCTAGAAAGACTCCATGAGGCTGGTGGTTTTTGAAGGGGTGGGAGGAGTCCATGTCTGCAACCCAGTGGGCCACAGAGAGCCATGGGAGATCCTTGAGCAAGGGGATAGCAGGATCGAACCCAAGTTTTGAGAAGACTAGAATTGGGGGGGAGGTGCTGTGGAGGATAGATGGTAGTGAGGAAAGAAATATCAATAGGGAGTGAGTCAGAGCCCCTGGGGAGCCATCAGCAGGGGCAGAGAATGCTAGGATGGAGGTGGCCAAAGGGGTTGGGTGTTCAGGTGTCAACGGGAGGCCTAGGGACATGGCAGGAGCTCCTCACACTCAGATCCCCACTGAGCAGTCAGCTGGACTACATGTGCCCGTCCTTCCTCCTTGTCTCCGCAGTCCCTCCCCTCCCCCCGTCCCTGGCAGAGTGGCAGGAAGGGCAGGAGAGCCCAGAGCATGGCTTGGAGCCCTGGCCTGGGCACTGGGATGCCTAGGCGCCCATCCAGATTTGGTGCAGAATGCTTTGTATCTCAGGGGGAGGTCGTGCCAGGCCTGATGCTTCAGGTGTGTCACTCGGAGCCCTGCCCAAAGTAGGCACTGAGCAGCCATTCATAGGGGGAACCAAGAATCTACAGACTGGCCAGACCATTGAACCACATCTGGGGGTTTACATTTCCTGCTCCGTCACTCACTGGTTTGTGTGACCTTTGGCAAGTTATCAAACCTTTCTGAACCTGTTTGTCAGTGACAGGGAGTGCTAATGCCTCCTCCCTGGCCTCACTGGATTCAGTGATGTGGCCTGTCGCACTAAGCACAGTGCCCGGCCCATGGCTGACGGTCACCAACTGTGCCCGTGGAGGAAGGAGGGCGCACACCCAGATTATATGTCTGAGTCCCCTTTCTGACCTACCTTGAGAACTGTGGTCTTAGGTTCTGGCTCTCATTTTCTGCCTAACAGCAGGTATGCTGGCCGTCAATCTCTCCTACCCCAGTGCCAGACAGGCTTTCCCAGGCCTGGCTGGAATCACAGCCTCCCCATTCCACTGTTCAAGTATCTCTCATGGCTCCCTGTTGGCCAAGGTCACCAGCACAATGCTCACGGACCTCCAAACCCTACTGACCTGTCTTTGCTGCCTTCCCTCACAGCTCAGCCATCATCCAGCCTGTGCTTCCGCCACACCCCTACTCTCCCCCGGCCCCCAACCCTGCCCCTACATCTGACACCATCCTGGCAGGCCCAGGCCAGAGGAGTCTTTCCTGATGCTTCCCTGCCCTGTCCCCCATCCCCGCCTCCCTGCATGGGGGCCCGCAGTGGGGGCCTCTTGCTTTCCTTACAGTGGCTCTTGGACTTTAATGCTTGCCTGTCCACCCATGGCCTGCCTGGTTCCACGTTCCTGTGATGTATTTTATTCTGCCCCCAGACGGGATGGCATACTTTGTGCACAGAAGGTACCCTGAGAATGTTTGTGGGGTTGCAGTTGAACTGATTTTCACAAAATACAGGAGCTCTGGTAGCTGCGTGGAACAAAACTGCCTCTGGCCTCATGCTGGCCTTTGCTGTCAAGACACAGTGATACACACATAGCCCAGGAAAGGGGGGGAGGTGCAAGCACACAGTCTTTAGACTTGCATGGATGTGGGACTCTGTCCTCTGGCTTGTTGCTAAACTGCTCTGGGCCCTTCAGTAGGAGCATCTGTGACATGCAGGGTGAAGCAGCGCAGGTGTCTATATCCAGCACCACATCCTGGCACTGTTCTGAGCACTTTCCATGCACCTCTGCCTTTGGTCCCCACAACAACCTTGCCATAGGGCACTGAGATTGTGCATGGGATCCCACCACTCCCTTATTTCTTCTTTACTTTTATTTTTTGTAAAGTGGTTACATTACTTTTATAGTGGAAAGTTACCGCCTGTTATCTTCTCAAACCTTTAGATCTGACCATCATCTAGAGCTACAGTTCCCAATGTGGAGTGGTTTTGCTTCCCAAGGGACATTTAGCAATATCTGGAGACATTTATGGTTGTCATAAGTGGGGCAAGGGGCCTGCTACTGACATCCAGTGGGGAGAGTACTGTGATGGTGCTAAACCATCCTATAATGCTCGGGACTGCCCCTGCCCTGGCCACACACACACTGAAGAAGTATCGACAGTGCTGAAGTTGAGAAACTGGTCTCCAGAGCCCCACAAATCAGGGTGTCAGTGTGGGAGAGAACCCATGAGGAGACTGAAGTCCAGAGAGGGGCAGCAACTTATTTAAGGACACACAGCAAGCTGTAACACAATTCAGTGTTCAGATATGGGGCTCTCACCTGGTGGCTAATGCTGGTTTTTTGGGTTTTGTTTTTTTCTTTCCTAACAGTAATTTTTAATAGCTTGTAGTTTATTTTTGTAAGTTAATGCTCTTTTAATGTTAACCCAGTATGCCAAGTAGCATTTACCCATGACCAGGACCAGGGACCGATAATTACATTTTTAGTTGGCAAACAAACTAGCTGAACCCCATGAAGCTTCTTGGTTTAGGAGGGAAATGCAGACAGAAGGGAGGCCGCAGTAGCCTCCTGCAGCTGTTTCCAATACAGCCGCCTTGCCTGGGCCAAGTGCCCTGTTGGGGCCCCGCCACTGGGCGGGTGTTTCTGGGGCCAGATGAAAGAGGATGACTTCAGGATACCCCAAGCATACGCAGCCTTGTGGGATGCCGTCACACGCTGGGTGGGGGCACCTGCAGAGCAGGGCACGGGACAGGAGGGAAGAGGGGACTGGGCCACTGTTAAGGGTGACAGTGGGACCCAGCCCTCTGGATTTTTAACAAGGGCCCCAGGTGATTTTCCTGATCAGGCTCAGCTGGGGAATACCTGGAAGGAGCATGGGTATGCAGCAGAAGGACACTACAGGCCCTGCTCCTGCCTGCCATGTGACGTGGGCACATGCCACTCTGCACCCTCCTTTCCCTGTTGGTAAGATGGTGTGATCATCCCGGCCTCACAGGCACCACATTCCTGCTTCAGGAAGGCTTCACTGAGAGCTGACCCGTGCCCAGCACTGCCCTCAGCTCAGACAGTAGTAACGCTGAACTAGAACCAGGTTCTTGGTAGGGGGTAACCATGACAACTACAAAGACAGTGGCGGTGGCGGGCAGATCCGGACACCTCACTGCAGCTCTCAAGTCACCAGCTGCGTCACCTGAACAAGCCTCTCAACCCCTCCGACCCCCAAGCCCCTCTTCTGTGGCATGGGAATCAGAATACTCTGTGTCAAGAGGTGCCTGGGGGAGGAAGGTCCCTGGCCAATCACTGGCGGGTAAGCAGATGGGTGAACGTCCCTTCTCTTCCTCACTCAACTCTCTCCAGGAATTTGACACTCCCCCCATCCCCCTTCCTGTGCTGTACACACCTGCTTCCCCACACTGACTCAGGGCAGGTCCCGCCAGCTGGTGGGACCTGTCCCGGGCTCCAGCAGGCCCCCCACCTCCCTCCCCAGCCCTGCCTCAGAAAGTCAGCAGAGCCCTGGCTGCTCGAGGCCTTGACCTTACAGGTGGGAAAACAGGAGCCTAGACATGGTCTTTAACCTCTCGGAGAGCGCACAGCAAATGCTGGCTGTCTCTCCCTGCCCAGAGCCCAGCATCTTTGGTCTGAAAAGTTGCCAGCATCTCTCTCTCTCTGCCAAATAGTCTTCTCTTTTCCCTGCTTCCTGTTCCTTCTGCTTGTCCACCCCTCGTATTTCGTTTGTGTCATCATGGGTCCCATGGTGATTCCCGTAGTGACCTCCCCGCCTGCCTCCTGGGACCTGCGGGCTCAGGAAGTGATGAAGTTCCCAGGAATGTGCCTCACAGTGACTCAATCCTCTTGTGCCTGGGACCTGTGGCTGTCGTGGCTGCTGCTTCTGGGATGGCAGAAGGTCCCTCAGGGCTTTGTGTGAACTGGGCCTGAGCCAGCTCCCTGTCGGTCAGGGAGAACAGGCCAGATTGTTCAGGAACTTAAAAGATATCAGCAAAAAAAGGCACATGACCCATGGCCGCCCAGCATGGCCCTGGACCTGGTGCATGCTGCCCTTCCCCCAGGTGCCAGCAGGTGCACTTTGCTCCACACAGAGGACTGGAGCTGCTGCCCAGGGCGTGTACCCTCACCACTCACGTGACCCCTAGATCTGCAGTATCAGCGCCAGTTGTAGAAATTCGAAGTTCAGAATCCCCAATTTCTGGGGCTTCTCCAGGTGATGCCTTGGCCCAAGTGGGAGCAGCCCTGGTGTCCGTCCGACAAGCACAGCTTCAGTCCTCAAGCGAGCCTCTCCAGTCCCTAGGCTGACTACGGGCTCTGTTCAGCAGTGGCCCCAATGAAACCATGGAACACGGTAGGGAGTGATGGGCAGGCTGGTGACATTGTCTGTTGCCTGTAGATCAGACCCTGCTACCACCAATGTGACCATGATGTGGCAAGTCACCTTGTGTCTCTGAGCCTTGGCTTCTTCTTCTGTAGAGTGGCCACAGTGATCCTGTGATCGCCAAGGGAGAGCATATAATGCCCCATGTGATGTCCCAGGAGGCCACTAGAAGTAGAAGCAGGGCATGGGAGGGTATTTGCCATGTAAGAAGTCTCCTTGCTCAGGCACAGAAGCTACTGGAGACCCGTCCAAGGGGAGGCCTGAGCCCCAAGCTGCCCCTCCAGCTGGGGCCTGATACAGCTCCCCCCTAGATCCCTCTCCCATTCTCTCCAATGGCAGCCAAGGTAAAGAAAAGGGAGTGGCCCATGTGGCCTGAGGTAGGAGGTTGTCCACAGGACCACCTTGGGGACGGAGTCAGGAGGGAGGCAAGATGGCAGGCCTGGGCACTTGAGAGGGGACTTTAGGGGTTGCTCCTCAAAGCTCAGCGGTTTGGCTGGCAGAGGCCTGGAGCAGACCTGCTCTAAGTGTGGCGGTGACAAGCAGCCTGCTGGCTTTGAAGGCTGGCTCTGCCACTAACTCACTAACTAGCTACGGCACGGCCCCGGTTATCTAATGGTGCTTAGCAAATCACCTCTAAACATAGTGCTTTAAACAATGTCAATATTTACTTTGCTCATGCATCTGCAATCTGGACAGGGCTCAGCAGATGGGGCCAGCTGGTCGGCTGAAGCGTCCCGCAGGCCCGGAGCTGGGATCACCGGGAGATTCGTCAGCCCACCTGGCCAGTGGCTGGCCCTGGGGCCCTCAGGCCCGGCTCTCCACCTCCGTGTGTCTTTCCAGCAGGGTGGCTTCGGGGGACCTGGGGGCTGCTGGGGTGCTGGCCACATAGGCTGACCTGTAGTCATTGGAGGCGAGGGGGCTTGAGCTTCATCTTTGGAGAGAGGAGAGGATTCTCAAGGAATCTGAGAACTTGCTTTAAAATCTGCAAATTATTTCACTTTCTTGGTGCTTCGGTTTTTCCCAGCTGCAAAATTTCAGTTAAATACAGGCCTCTCTCATCACTGCCTTGGCTTCCTATGGCTGCTGTAACAACACCATAAACTGAGTGGTCCAAAGCCCCACAGGTGTGTTGAGTTGCACGGTTCCACAGTTCAAAGTCTGGCATGGGTCTCGGGGCTGGAATCAAGGTGTAGGCAGGGCTGTGTTCCCTTCTGATAGCTCTGTGGGAGAGTGCGTTTCCTGGCCTTACCAACCCGTAGAGCCCCCTTCCTCCCTCTTCAAGACCAGCAGCTGCATGCCAGGTCCTCAGGGCAAACCACTGACCTCCATACAGAAGAGCCGTTGCCATATGTTGGGTGCACGCAGGTGATGGCGGTGATCTCCCTGTTGGGAGGTCCTCTTCAGCCTGAAGCTTGTATGCAACTGTAACTTTCCTCTGCCAAGCAATGGGTTCACAGATTCTGGGATTAGGGCATGGGCATCTTTCGGAGGTCATTATTCTGCCTGCCACAGTGGGCTTGTTGAAAAAATTAGAGGATATAAAGTATGTGACGTACTTAGGTGAGTGCCTGGCACAGGGAACATGCTTAGTAGGGGCCATAGCTATCACATGGGGAAGCCACTGAAGGAGTCATCGGGACATGCCTTTAGCATGGACCCAAACCATTGAGTGAGAGGAGAGGCCCGGTCCAGTCTTCTCATTTTATAGATGACAGGTTTGAAGCCCAGAGAGGGAGGTCAGTTTGCTGAAAGTCACACAGCACGTCGAGGAGGGGCTGTTTCCTGTCAGTCGCCCCAGACCCGTCCGGAGGACCCTGCGTGATGTATGTGCTGCGTGTCTCCTTGGCCAGATCCTGCAGCTCCTGAAAGGCAAGCTGGTGGTGGGTCACGACCTGAAGCATGACTTCCAGGCCCTGAAAGAGAACATGAGCAACTACTCCATCTACGACACATCCACCGACAGGCTGCTGTGGCGGGAAGCCAACCTACAGAACTGCAGGCGCGTCTCTCTCCGGGTGCTCAGTGAGCGCCTCCTTGGGCGGCGCATCCAGGTGAGCATCCCCCTGACTTCCCACCAGGGTGCCAATGTCTTCCAGCAGCTCCAGAACCAACGTGCGGCCCCAAAGATGCTCTGTCTCCCCCACAGTCATGAAAGGCTGTATGCTCGCCAGCAAGGAGGGGTCCTGGCTTCAGGCTCCCTGGGCACCAGGCCCCAGGCCAGGACCAGAGTGCGGTGGTTTATTCAAGAGGAGACCCTGGGACACACGGTAGAGTGAGGATAAGAGGCAGTGAAGGGAGGCCACCCAAGAAAGTTTTCATTCGTTTTTAAACTCAAGCCAGTGACTCTGTGGATAACTGAGGTTTAATCCCACTGTGGGCCTCTGGGCAATCCCACAGAGCTCCGATGCATGCAGGGACCAGAGGTATTGACACACAGCTCCCGTCAGGCATGGCTGCTGCTGCTGCTGCCCATTCCTCAGCACTCGAAGTCTCTGGCAAGCCCCAGACAAAGGTGCTTGGGAGATCACTGAGGTGGCAGGGCCGAGGGAGGTGGGCCACACCCTAGCAGGAGCAGCTCCACGTGAAGGCCTTCCCTGTCAACAGATATTTATCAACACCTACTCTGGGCCTGGCTGGATGAGATGCTGGATCTTCAGGACTGGACCCTGTGCTTTAGCAACTCTAGGTTGCAGGGAGGGCAGCCCATTAGCCCAAAGACATGAAGGATATATGGCAGGTTTGCACATGTCCAAAAGGTGAGCCTTAGAAGGGGAGACCTTCCAAGGAGACCTTCCTGAGACCTTGAGGAGAGCAGAGCAGGAGCCCCAGCCTGAGGTGTGAGGCACTGCTTGGCTAGGTGACCCGGAATTGTGTGGGTCTCAGGGAATGGGCCTGAACTGGGGCCCCTCCATCAGCCTGGTGGACACAGGACCAAGGACACAATGGTTAGCATGTGGGTTCACTGAAGTGCTGAGCAAGTGGCACTTTAGAAACATCATTTTGACATATTTTTTTTATATTTGCCTGGTGCCCTGGAGCTCCCTATGTGTCTGACAGCATGTCTGCAGTACCCCCTTCCCTGTGCCGGATGATAAGCACCTTGAGGGCATAGCCTGGTTCTCTGGAAGCTAGAAGGTGGATACCTGGCCATGCCTGGGCCTTGTGTCCTAGCTCAGCGGCCAACAGGTAGAAGCCAGGCCTGCTCCTGCCACCTGCTGAGTCCACGGTGTCCGAAGCCTGGGGAGAATTACCCACCTCAGGGCCTTGGAAACCGGGGTGTGAGTAGGGGAAGGCCCCTATCACATGGGGTCTCTGCATTCAGCCCACCCCAAGCCCCCACTCTGTACATGTGTCTACAGAACAGCCGCTTTGGGCACAGCTCAGTGGAAGACGCCAAGGCAACGATGGAGCTTTACCGAATCTCCCGGCGAATTCGAGCCCGCTGAGGGCTGCCCACCTGATGCTCCAGGACAGGAGCTCCCTTCGGCCCCTTCCACAGGAACTTCCCCATGGTCTTGGCCTCTTCAAGACAACAACTCCCTTGCTTTTGGGAAATGCATATTTTGTGGTAAAATAGCTATTTTTTCTACTCCATCACTGGATGCTCCTCTTGCCTTTCTCTGAGCCGGATAAGGGTGATGGGCCCCAGTCTGTGTGATGCTTAGAGGACAATGAAGACTGAGCTGGAATGGGGGCCATTTCCTTAATAATGAATTCTGTGCATCCAAGAAGACACTGGAGGGATCTGGGTGGCATGCAACTAAACCCTTGCCTCTGCCTCCCTTTTCCTGTTGCACTGATGCTCAGGGGAGAGACACCTGGCTCAGAGGTCCCTGTGTGCCATCTTGAAATGGGTGCCACGGCACTGGTGAGCTCTGAAGCCAAGGTGTAAACAATGTGGCCTGAGAATTCAGCAAGTCATCCCTCCTCTTGTAAAATGGGGAAGCAAAGCGAGTGGATTTTGAAATCAGAATTAGGTTAGAGTCCTAGTTCTGCCATTTAGTAGCTAGAGTGAGTTACTTAGCCTCTCTGTGCCTCAGTGTCTCCATCTGTAAAATGGGGAATTCTAACAGTCCACGGGGTTCTTGTGAGATGTTGCATACAAAGCCTCCAGCACCATGCCCCTCAGAGCTTAGGTACCCAGGACATGTCAGTAATGGGCAGTTATTGTTCGCATCACTCACTGGTCTAGGAGAACCCCGGGGAGAGCAGCTGCATTCCGCCATGGAACCCAGCCCTCTGAAGGAAGGGCATGCATAGCATGTGGGGAGAAGGGTCCACATCAGAACAGTGACTGCTCGTTAGAAGCAGCTGCAGAGCTGTTATTTTAATAAGTTGCCCAGGTGCCTTGTAACCTGTGTGTGGGGAGGTGGAGGGGGCAGGTAATTCTGATGCTCAGGACATTTGAATCACCTGAGATGCCTTTTAAGCCACTCCAGGCCCTAAGCACAGTGTTCTCACACTGGAGCATCAACATCACCTGGACGGCCTGGACCCCACCCCCAGAATTTCCAATATAGCGGGTAGGGGGTGAGGGATGGAGTCCCAGAATCTGCATTTCTCACAAGTTCCCCATTGATTCTGAACCTGCTGGTCCAGGACCACGCTTTGAGACCCACAGCTAAGCATCGGGTGATTGTGATGTACGGCCACAGTTGAGAGTCCCTGGCTTCCAGTCTGAGTACCACCAGGGTAGACACATGCTGCTGGTCCAGCCTTGACCCCTGCCATCTCCCCTGGCTGCCTGCTCATGCAGAGAGGTCCGCATCCCTGAAAACTGTGCCCTTAAATAGCCTCACTACATAGACCAGAGACTCAGGGTGAGGTTAAGGACCCAAGGGATTCAAATCCAGGTTCCTCTGACCCCAAACTTGAGAGCTCTTCACTCAGACTGCCTTGTAAAGGCAGCGCCTCTCATGTGCACAGGACCTCTGGGGAGCCCGGAGTGCTCCCTCCCACGTCTGGGAGAGCGGGGAGGTGCAGCCTGCTCCCCTCACTGTTCTCTCCTGGGCGCTCTGCTGCCCCACCTGCTGCTGGACTTTCTGCGGCCGCCTTGCCTGGCTGAGACTGGCCACCAGGTGGTGCCCTTGGGCCGTCCGTCGGTCAGGGGGCCCCTAAGACAGAACCAGCCCCGGAACACTTAGGCATGAGACGCGAGGGGGGCTGCAGCGGGGACCCCGTAGGCCACCCCACTAACCGCTGAGCTAGAGTGACTTACAGCCCCGGCTCTCAGCCTCCCAGGCCAAAGTCCTTTCCACAGCGGCGACAGGCCTCCTTGAAAGGAGGGGTGAGCCAGGATTCCCAGAGATAAGGCATTCCCCGAGGGAATTAACCCAGCTTCTGGCTTTCAGCGCTGGGGCTTGGGTGCCCCTCCCAGGTGGGCACCAAGGTGAGGGTCAGGACCCTGGGGGTGGGGCGTGTGCTGTGGGCCCCCACCACCTGCAGAGCCAGTCCTCGGGTGTGGCAGAGTCACATAGGAGACACAGAGGTTGGTCCTCACGAGAGCACCAGCTTCAGAGTCAGGCTGACTTGGCTGTGTCTCGCCTCCGAGACAGCAGGTGCCCCAGCCGTCCACGGGCAGAGGAGAGGACGGAGATGTCATACACGGGGTGCCCGGCACCAGCTGGTGGGCGGTAGGGACCCGTGAATAGCACCCAGCGCTGGTGATCATAACAGAAATAAAGGCCTGCCGTGGGCTGCACCCTGGACTCCTGACCCACCGGGGTCCCAGCACACCTGGGGTTGTTGCCTGCCCGTGTCGGTGTCATTCAACGAGGTCGTGACGCTGGGAAGAGAGGAAGGTGATGTTTGCTGAGCGGCTGCTTTGTGACGAATTCTGCCGTCCGCAGCAGACCCGCTCCCGGAGGCCTAGACAAGCAGCTCAGATCGCAGACCAGGTGGACACCAGGAGCCCTGCTCCTGCCCAGGGGCTAGGTTCGGCCCTTGCACGGCTTCTGCCTCAGTCTCCTCATGTGTAAAATGGGAATATTAGCCCCGACTCCCACAGCTCTCAGGGAAGTGAAACCGCCCTTCGATCTGCCTTCAGGTGGCATCTCCTTGCCCAGGAAGGCCACCCCTCCTGCTCTCCCACCCTCAGTTCTGGCAAGGGCAGTGGGGCTCCACCCAGGCACACAGGGGGAGGGAGGAGCCGGGCTTACACCGCCTTGCCTTCTGCTCTCTCCGTCCCGATTGCTTTAGCTGCCTCACTTTGCTCCCCACCGTCAGTTTCCAATCCCCCACCTCCCCAATCCCACCCCGCTTTTCTTCAGACCCACTGCCGCTAGCATTCTCCCCTGGGCCACCATCCTGGACTGGGGGGTCTGGGGGGTGCCCTTCCTCACTTTGTCTCTTCATCTCAGTTCACAGTACACCTGCTCTGGGTGCCCTTCCCAGGCCCTAAATACCCCAGGGGACTAGCTCTGCTCTAAGGCAGGAAGGCCAGGTAAAGGATTCTGCAGTCCTGGGTATAAGACCCAGTCCCCAGAGACCATGATAGATCCCAACATAACAGCAGCTCAAGAAGGGGGAGGGGAGCGCGATGGTGCTCCCTGGCCAAGTGAAAGCTCTATCTGGCACCCCAGCCGGGGCAGGGCAACTCCCTGAGCCCGTGGGAAGGTACTGCCGCCACCTCTTGTGCCAGGTGGGCCTACAGGTGAGCTGAGAGAAGAAGGGGGAGTGTGGGCAGGGCCTCTTCTCCAAAGCTCCCGGGCGTGCCTGCCTAAGGGACCAGTCTAGGAAATAAAGGAGCGACTCAGGCCAGTGCAGGACTGGGAGGCCGTGTCTGGCTGGACTGGGCAGCTGCCACTCCGCCTCAGTGGCTTGTGGCCATGCAGACACGCTGACCAGCGGAGACATCTTCAGGACTGTGTCTGGCCCACGGGCCGCCAGTTTGAGACCTCAGCTCTGGTCCACCTGCCACCTGACTCCTTTTGATGGGGTGGCCCTGGACATGTCCAAAGACAGAATTCACTATCTTGAAAGCACGCCTGGGTGGGTTGGGGCCCCTGATGTGCAAGTGTCGGGCTTGCGCCACTGAAGCTCCTGCCCGGGATACAACCAATCCCACTTCCGCATGGTGACCTGTCACCCACCTTTAGATCGTCCTCACGTCTCTCACCCCTACCCTTTGAAGTCTTTGAATTTCTAGGCCCCCAATTTCTTCAAAGGTTTCCCCTTCTCTGACCACTCCCATCAGGCCTATTCTCAGTGGATTCTGAAATGGGGGAAAAGATGGCAAGGGAACCAGGACTCCATGGGGACAAGGGAACGAGGGGCGTCCTCAGGCCCAGGGCTGGATGTTCACACATATCTGGCAGAAGAATGCAGGTCCTGAGGATGGGGGCACTTTTTCGCCACCCAACCCTGAGGCATCAAGGAGAATTTGGAAGTGGCTGGGAACGACAGTCTCAGAATGGCCCCGCTTCACTGAGCCAGGCCCTTTTGCTCCTGGAGTGGGGCACTGGAAGGCTCTGGTGCCCCTCCCAAGCCCCTTAGCCCTCCCACCCCCCTTTGCCCAGCCCCGGCCTGAATGGATGAAAGTGCTTCTATTCGGGGAAAGGATTCTCCGGCCCGGCCTGCTAACTGTTCAGGCGCTGGCCCGGCCCCGTCCAAAAGCCCGCTGTCTCCGAGGGTGAGGAGCCAGCCCAGTCGGGTTCCAACAGCCGTCAGAAGGCTGCCCGCTTCCTGCCCGGCGTGCTGCGGGCTGGGCCGGGCTCTGCCGCCAAGAGGCTTACTCACTCCTGGAACAATCTCCCCTCTATATGGAAAGAACATATGCTTTTCCTGCTGGGGGAAGAGAGAGGGCTTGGAGCAGCTTTGCCGAGACGTGTAGGAAAAGGCAAACGTTGGCCGGGCCCCAGCACCCTGATCTCAAACCGTGTGCTGTGTGTTCAGTGGCAGAACCCGTTGGCCTCTGTTCCCAGGGGCAGGGCAGGAGGCCCAGAGAATGCATGTCTGGACCTCGGTTTCAGGACACTGGGCTCGTCCCTTGCTTGGGGTTGGGTGTCCCCATCTCTTTGTGTTCCTGTTCTGTCCTCCGCTGTGTAGGGCTCAGGCGGAGGAAGAGGGACACAGACTCAGCTCTGCCAGCCAGTCCCAGCTCAGCACCCTGCACCCCCACCCCGCCACCAGCACAGTGTCCTCCAATGAGGGCTGTGGCACTCTGCTTGGCGGACCCCCACCCAAGACCCTCAAGTCTGAAAGAAGAGCTGATAAGTCCTGGCTGTTCAGATCTTATAGCACCCAGGACTAGCTGGAGTCTAAAGAAAGGAGGGGAAGATTTAAAATAAAAATTCTTTTGATATGAGCTAGCATCCTTCCTCTAAGGGACAGGAAAAGGCTGGAGGCAAGACACCCAGGCTGGCACTCTTCAGCAGTGAGGAAGCCCCAGGAGCCTGGATGGCAGTGCAGCCACCGGAAGGGCGAGATGTGGCTGGCAGCAGGCTGGAGGCCAGCCCTGGCTTGGTTGCTTCCGGCCAGGGACTCCTGAGCTGGAGCCCCTCCGAGGTTCCAGTTCCTGATCTGTAGGTGGGGAAGTCATAATCACTACCTAGTGCAAGGGTCAGGGACATGGATGTGAAGTTCCGGGCACAGAC